TTTACACACCAGAAGCTCAGCCGCTCTGAGGCTGAGTTTGCTTGACAGAATGTCTTTACATGTCAAGAGATCAACAACCTTTCTTATGTCCTCCTCAGTCACCTACACAGGCCCCTGATTGCTGTTCAGAGGAGACATGCTCTGGCATGGCTGTATGAAGATCAGGCTGGCCTGGTGAGCATACAAAATGAGATGAGAGGAAAGTGGCATCCATGACTGTTGGAGAGAGCCTATTTAACAGTCAGAAGAGCACGTTTTTCCATCAGATGTCTCTAGGTCTAAGGTTTTCAATAACTTAGAACTGGGAAAAGCCACATTGATATGTCAAGGGTAGACCAGAGTTTTCTCCTGCCAAAAAGACACTTTCTCATCCCTTCTCGGAGGCAACAATAACATAAAATCAACTTCCTAATGGTACACTATGAGAGAAATGATGGAAATTATACACCTTATTCACAGGCAACGTTCAACTAGTATCTCTATGACACATCTCTGTCAGCCAGGATAGCTGCAGGGAAGACTGATCTTTCCCCCTCTTGGTTCAGTCCTAAGATTTGGGAACTGCAGTATGATTTTGTCACAGAGTACTCTGAGATATCTGGAGCCACTTTACTCATGTTCCATCTAGGTGATGGGTCTTTTTGGCTCTGGAGAAGTGGCCCAAACCTCCCTAGGTTAGGTGAAGCTCAAGCAATCTTCTGAGTAGTAGCTTCTTTTTCTAAAGCTCATACAAATAAAAATTGGCCAACACTGTAGCTCTGTTCAGAAACAATATTCAAGTTCTTCTCCTTTCATGCAACTCCACTCTCTGCCTGATGAACTTTGGTGGTATTCCAATGTTCTTCATGCAGATGGTATCTTTAGGCCTATTATAAGACAAGCAGCTGGCTTTCCTGAGATTCCAGCATACATTCATGGGTAGCACTATGGCTCTTCGATGTTGACAGACTTCCTTATTTTCTCTGCAATAAGGGTCTTCCTATAGATACTGCACAAGTTCCTTACTGCTCTACAACATTAGATAACATCTGAGTCAGAATGATGAGTTAAATCACTGCCTCCTTCCTACTTAGTAAATGTGTGATTTTGAACAAGTTCCTTAACCCCTCTAAGCCTCAGTTCCTCATTCCTAAAATTACATTTCATAAATATAATATTGGCACATTCCTAACAGGGATATTGTGAAGATAAAATGAAAACTTATGTAAAATACTTAACACAATACTTCTCATATAATAAATTAGTTTTATCATCATCATCATCATCATCATCATCATGGCCAATGTCCATACATGTACATCAAGGTACACATTTGGGCATGTATATTTATACACACATATATGGAACACACTGAATGTTGACAGAAATATAAACAGTCATTTCCCCGGCATTTAATGTAATCAGAAGTAAACCAAGATAGGGAACATAAGAAGAAAAGCCAGCTTGTGGTGAAAGCACAAAAAAAGAAAAGAAAGATGATGACAATGGAGTTTGGGGCCCACTGGGTGAAAGCTCCTGGAAGTATCCAATAGGCAGCTGGACTTCTAGGTTTGGATCTAGATGTCAGGTCTCAGGGAGCCTGACTTAAGAGTTATGAGTGCCTGACTAGTGGTTAAGTTGCTGAGAATGGAGAAGATACTCAAGAGAGCCTACAAAGTGAGAAAAGATCTGGACCTCTAAAGAAAACTTAGGGAAGAGCAACATTTACGGGAGAGGAAATAAAGAGCATCCCTTGGTAAAGGGCTGAGAATGAGTGAATGTTGTTGTGTGGAATCCGAGGAAAAGATGGGTTCAAGAAGGATGGAATGGCTACAAGCATGAAATGATGCAGAGAACACAGGAGGAAATAAACATGAAAGAAACAACCCAGGGGAAAAACTAGAAAGGTTCAGTCGGGCTATTTGAGGTGTTACTTTAATTTTATTGAGGCAATTTCTCCATTCTCTAATTGCATAAACACTCATGTGCCAACATGTGTAAGACCACATGCTAATTGTGGAAAAATTATAATTAATGAGACATGTAAACATACACAGACACAAAACAAAATGAGTCAGTGTTCGTTCTGCCACAAGTTCCCTCTATCCTCTCCCAGGAAGTAACGAATGGGTGATGGGAACAAAGCAGGTTAAATCTGAGATCCAGTAAGGAATTTGTCCTTGCTGATGGGAAGAGCTATTCTTCAATGCAAAAATTAACTCTGTGGTGGTCAAGGTTGCTGCCCATATTTAGAGGAGTCTACCTACTTGAGGACAGTTGGAGACTCACAGGGAAGAGCATATGTATTTGAAGGACAGTATGGACCTTGTGTCAGGCAGCTCTCATGCCTTATAACAGAGAGCACTCATTGGGATGGTGACACTGTCACCAGGAAGAGTCTGTCAGAAGTCATCAGGTATAGAACTGAACCAATGAATCTCAACTAGGAGATTCACTGACAGAGAACACTGACAAATGTCTGGAGACATCTGGGGTTGCCATGACTGGGCTAGGGCATGAAAGAGTTTCTATGGATAGAGGCAAGTAACAAACTGTTAAACATCCTACAATGTGCAGGACAAACCTCCCCTCCCCCATAACTGCATAAGGATTATGTAGTCTAAAATGTCAATTGTGCCTAGGTTGAGAAACCCTGTACTGAAATAATGATCCAGTTTTAGTTTATCACAAGTACTTTCTCTAAAAGCTTACATTTACATTTTATCATTTGCAAATTAGTTATGCATACAAAACCTTGTTACTCATATGTTGTAAAATAAGCAGAATGATAATTTTTACTCCATCTTAGAGTTGAGGAAACTGAAGCTTTCCAGAAATTCAGTTCATGCCCCCTCATCTCAGTAGCCCTTCTACTAAGTGAAGAACAACTATTTTATCTGCAAAAATAAAGCTTTCTAGACTCTATAAAAAATAACAGACTGAGTTGGTTTCTCATCCCACATAAGAGCTACATCCTATAATTTAAGACCTTTAGACATTTTACTAGCAGGTCCTATGAGGGAAAACAAAGCCTCAGAAGTCTTATATAAGTACTCTTAGGTCCCCAATGTCACTAAAGTCTACCTTTAACTCTGCTGCCCTGAGAAGCACAAGAAAGTTGATCCTGATATTTGTAAGTCATGACATGTGTCTATTAGACATGTTTATTAAACATGAATTGGTTTGTGCCTGGATATGCCTTGCTATGATATAACCCAGGCTCGGTCAAGGGAGATAGATATATGGCTCATCTTGGGGCCAAAGCAAGCTGCAAAACAGTTTATAATGAAACCCAATCTCATGTTTCAAGACACTGAGCAATATACACCTAGTGACATCACATGTTTTGTTTACCAGCAAAGCTAATCCCACTCTACACACAAAAAAATCATGTGTGGGAAGCAAAGCACCCAAGTCTACCAACTTGGGGTCAGCAACTAGCCAGGAGAAACATTCTCCAGGAAACTAGGAATCCAGGGATTCTCTTCCTCAGATCTCTCAGGACAAAAGGTGGCAAGGCCAAAATGATTTTACAAAAATTCTTCAGAATCTTGGGAGAGAATGTCTTCTTTCTACCAAATTTGTCTTATTAGTCTCTTTCATGAGACTAATAAGTCTCACCTCTCAAAAAAAATCATCTTGGAGACAAAGAGATCTTGACACCTAAAAATCAATGCTTGGAGCACCTAGGTGGCTCAGTTGGTGCTGGACTCTTGATTTTGGCTCAGGTCATGATCTCATGGTTTGTGGGTTCAAACTCAGTATTGTACTGTCAGTGTGGAGCCTGCTTGGGATTCTCTCTCTCTCTCTCTCTCTCTGCCCCACCCCTGCTTGTGTTCATTCTCTCTCTCTCTCTCTCTCTCTCAAAATAAATAAGTTAAAAAATTTTTTTAATAAAATACAATAATGAAAATCAATGCTCAGAATCATCCCATCCCTTTCTCCCATGTGCGAATGTACAGCTAAAATTCTTCAAGATCCTCTCAGAGATCATACACGTCAATCTACACTTCATGCTGACGAACTATACCCAACAATATACTTTAAACACCATGCTGTTTTCACTGAAAGACCATATGGACATATATATCATTACATCACTCTGATAGGAAAACTAACATTGATCATGCAAAGAGTTAGCCATAAAATGAGATGGAAGGCAACACAAGTCTAGAACCTTGCTCCTTAAAGTGTGGTCCATGGCATTAGCATCACTTGGGAGCTTGTTAGAAATTTAGAGTTTCAAGCCCACCTGAGACCTCATTAGCAGTTTAACAAGATCCCCAGGGCATTCTTGACACTTCTGAGTTTGAGAAGCACCACTATCTAGAACTTAGCAACCTTTCCTAAAACCCAACTACCATTTGTGTCTTCGAAATTAACACTTTACTTTCACATCTTCTTCCATCAGTAAGTGTATAATTATATGAGGTGAACATACCACCCACATATGGTGGCAGATCTGACTGCTGCTTGAGGACCTTCACACATGCTGTAGAAGGACGTTGCTGACACGGAACTGAGTGTCACCCATATCACTCTAGATGTGCCCACCTGCATCAGGGTCCATTTTTAATAGACACTTACTGCTGACAATTTCCAGGATTGGAAGAGGAGTACAAAGAGAAAGGAAGGAAGAAGAGGGCATAATTCTAAAACAGAACAAAGATCTTATTTAAGAGTTTTCTACTTGTAAAACTTTAGAAAGAATGCATCATTTCTATGTACTTCACTTACCCTGAAGCGGTTGAAGCCTAAGAGTCCATTCAGGAAGCCAAACTAGGCTCAAAGGACATCACTCTCTCAAACAGTGAACGCAGGTGGTTTGGTCCCAATTCTTCCTTCATAAAAACAACTCCAAGAGCACAGAGACCTGGGGGACCAGGAGCCTCACCTGCTTTTTACGTCTGGGGAAATAACTAGACTCTATATCTTCTTCTGCCTAAGACTTTTTTTTTTTTTTTACCCTCTCCTGATACTCATGCCATTATTGAAATTTAAGAAAGACAAGACAAACCCACCTGGAATCTCCGCATGTCACGTGGATTTCCTGCATTCTTTAGGCAATTTTGGTTACATTTGAGGAAAAATTTCAAGAAGAACCTGTGGAGAAACAAATTATCATGGTTAGCATTTCAGTCCTGACACGGAAGGGGGGAGAAAAAGTAGTAAGCCGCGTCTGGGCTGTGCATTCTATTCTCCGCAGATTTTCTGAAATATTTAGAATGGTGTTAGAGTCACTATTTTGTTGAAAACTTTAGCCTTTGTTTTGCATCCAAGCTGGACTTGTTCTGTGAAAGAAACGCTTTTAGTGCTGCCAACAGATCTCACAAAAGAATTAAGCCCCCAAGGAAGTATTTTTACTCAGACAGAGGGAAAGTCTTCACCGTAATTTAAGGTAGGTTCCAATTGGGTGTAATTGCCTGAGAATTACTCATGGTCCCCAACAACATGTAATTTAAGCCCCGTAAATTAACAGATGATGAACCAGCAAAATGTATGCTGGATGAATATGGGTAAACACTTTTTATTTCAGCATCTCCAAATAAAATCGTCTAATTAGTAGTACCCACGAGAAGTAGATAAGATTCACATACTGACTGAAGTCCTTTGACTTCTCAAGTATTTCCTATATGTTTTTCTTATACTGCCTACTATAGACAAAAGCTATTTTGCGAATGAATCAGAACCTCACTGCCACCTTGGTCCCTGAGTTGGTTCTAGGGTGAGATTCATGGGTTTTACTTGCTAGGGTGACCAAAAGTCCCAATTTCCCAGGAACAATCCCAGTTTACACCAGCTATATTACCGTAAATATTATGGTACCCACGTTAACTCTCAAAAGTGTCCTGTTATGGATGATAAATTAGATGGTGACCTTATCACTTATTTCTTTCATTGTAGTTGTTAAAGTCCATTACACAAAGACAGCAGGTATCAAAGATGTACTATTAGGAGATTAATGCTGGCAATCTATATGTTCTTCATTTGCTCATGTTTGGGGAAAGAAGCATTTTAATTTTTTTTTTTCAACGTTTATTTATTTTTGGGACAGAGAGAGACAGAGCATGAACGGGAGAGGGGCAGAGAGAGAGAGGGAGACACAGAATCGGAAACAGGCTCCAGGCTCTGAGCCATCAGCCCAGAGCCCGACGCGGGGCTCGAACCCACGGACCGCGAGATCGTGACCTGGCTGAAGTCGGACGCTTAACCGACTGCGCCACCCAGGCGCCCCGAAAGAAGCATTTTAAAAGCCACCCTAAGTTCTCCATTCCCTTTTACTTTTAGGCCTACAGATTTCAGGCCCAAATATTTCCCCAAAACACCAGAATGCATTAAAATGCCAGTCAGTTAAATTTTTCCGGCATGTTCTTTTCTTCACCTTTCTCCCACTTCAAGTCACCTTTTCCCACACTGGAGTACAAAATTCCCACCTCAATGCACACAGTCTGTGAAGAACTATCAAGCCATGATGCCTCAGTCTGAATTTAGCTCTGAGCACAGAGTCTATTAACCAAATAACACAGGGGTCCTCAGTAAGGAGAACATAGCACAAAGTCACATGAGATTTAACTGGTTTCTGACTACTGAACTGAGAGAGGTCCTAGAAGAATCTCTCTCCTCCCCGGTCTCTTAGAATCTGGCAACAGAAGAATATGGTGTGGGAGTAACTCTGAAAAGTGACGATAACTTTGTCAACTAAAAGAACATTTTAAAATACAAACACTTCCCTGAAACGACGCTTTCAACATCGTGCACCATTCAACCACCCATCAATAAAAGGAAACCTCTGAATAATCATTTGCCCCTACTTCCAGGTTCTCTCCATAGAGGCCAAAGTTTATCAACACTTCACACAAGATAAATGACTCGTGGAACACCGCTGAAGCCCAAACGTGTAAAATGGAATTGGGCTCTGGCACCCCTTCCCCAGTACAAAGAACAGCACAGTCATTCCCGCCAGCAGTCAGCTGGTCCTACTCAAGTCCCCTTTCAATAGGGCAGACTTGGAAAGAGAAAGATGTTTGAGGGAGTGGTCATAACCCCAAGTGCCTCAGCATTGTCCTTTCCTCTGAGCTCTCAGAAGGCAAGAGCTGGGTGGCCCTGTGATCACACATGGCTTTCAGAAGCTGAAATGGTGAAGCTCAGGGAGAGAGAGAGTCGGCCATCTTGCTGGGGTTTAAGCCAAAGGCACCTGAAACGTAAAAACTGGCTGCCTCTTTCAAGCACAGCTGGTTGGAAGGGCATATTTAAAAGCCACGCCAAGCCTCAGGGGAGGACTGATTGCCACGAAACTGACAGTGAGAAACAGTGTGGTACAGAGGAAAAGCCACAGCCTTTAGAAATACCCGGAATGGGGTTCACATCCCAACTTTGACAGGTACTGACTGCTTGTGTGATTTTGGATAAGTAGGTGAACTTCTCTGCTCCACACTTTCCTTATCTATAAATTGGGTATAAGGACAGTCCCTACCTTATAAGGCAATTGTAAAAATGAACCATGATAATGCCTGACACATGGTAAGCATGGTGATGGGGCCAGTAATAATAACGGCTCCCATGAATTAGGTGCTTAACATGTTCAGCAAGGTGCTGAGAACTGCAAATACATTTTTCCCATTCAATCCCCCTAAATAACCTCTGCTATCAATCCCATTTTATGGATGAACACATTGAGGTCAGAGAAGTTGAATAACTTACCGTAAGGCTCGTGAGTCTGGAACTCAAATTTGGACAGAGCCTGTGTCCTTAACCATTATGCTTATAGTAGTTTTAGTAATAACAGAAGTAGTGAAGTACTGATATTAGTGCTAATTATACCATCAACAGTAATTGCACCACAATGGCATTTGTGCCAATAAGTGTACAAATAAGAATAAGTATTGGTATTATTATTTCCATACCAGTAGCATAAATATTGTGGAGGGAGACATCATCGCCATTCTCCCTCCAGTGCCCCCACCCCTGATTCCCCAGGGCTGATAATATTGCCGCGGGTGTGTGTTTTAGACATTTGAGCCCAGACCGACAGCCAGATTCAGGTTGTGTTAGAAGAAGCTGTCAGCACACCCTCTGGCATCTTCAAGTCAGACAACTGCTAGCCACCATGAGGGGGGCCATCTGGTGCCAAAATGGATTTTGAAAGGCAGGCAAACAGGACGCTAGCTCTGCCAGAGAGAAACAGAATCAAGGGAGCAGGGGATCTTCTGCCTTAACGATGAGCAGGGGCGAGGTGCCTGTCAGCAGCCCATCGTTAGCACAAAAGCTATGCCGGGCACACACCGGATCCCTGTTACCCTAAGCTGCCCTGTCACCTGGCATGCTGCCAGAATCTCCTGCCCGCCCTCTCCACAGTGGATCGCTTGCTGAAATTGAAGGCTTGGCCATCTGTCGCAGGGAAGAGACGGCATCAACGGGTGCCTGGGGCCTCACACAAGCCCTTATGTGGCAAAGACGCTCTGAAGGGCCTGTTCTTTTGGGGAAAGCCAGCCTTACCCCAGAGGGAGCCTCAGGAATTCTTTCAAAGTTTCCCCTAAGTACATGCCAAATGCCTGACCCTTTCGGATCGCACTTCCTTAAAGGAACTGAGAGGACTTAGAAGTAGGAGTTAAAAATATCCCCACTGAGGGACAGAGTTAGATGTAGCACACACATTTTGGGGATGATTTATCAGGCTGTTTTTAAGGCATTTGTAAACGGGGGACGCATGCATGTCTGCTGGCCTATGGAGAAGATCTCAGATTCTCAGGGGGCTTTTAACAAAGCGGAGGTTATTGTAACTCAAAACCTCAATTTTGTCTCATGAATTACCACATTTTGTGTGGCGGATATGTTTGATAAAGTGTTGTCAGGAGAAAGAGTGTGACAGCCTTATTTGAACCGTGGGAAATGAACTAGAGACAGGACAAAGCCCCTATTGACCCTGTAGAGTTCCAAGGAGTTCCAGAAACTCCAGGAAACAGCCCAATCAGAACCAAACTCCAGTCTTTTGGGGGGGGGGGGGGGGATGGAGAGGGTGGGGCAAAAAACCCAACACCTTTCTGGTAACTTTCAATATGAATAATATCATCTTATGTTCATACAGTGTATTATGTGATTCAAAGCACTTACATCTCTAGTATCTCACTAAATCCTCATAGAAGTCCTATAAATTAAGCATGCCAGGAATCATCAACCTATTTAAAAGGAAGAAAACTAAGACTCAACAAAATTAAGATATTTATCTACAGTCAAAACTAAACTCATAACCTATATTGGTCAAAAGACTCCTTATGGTATATGTTTGTTTCCATGAATTGCAAGACTTTCTAAGTGACCTTAACCATCACTTAGTTTCATTGCACATATGAAAAAATTGAGAGATCAGAAGACATGAGAATAGCCACACAGTTATAATAGTTACAACAGCTGGAACTACAACCCACATGTTCTGACTTCTAGTTGTATGATTTTTTTCAAGATAATGTAGCTTTTCAAAAGCCAACCCAGTAAGAGCTCAACAGTTGAGCCATTGAGCTTTTTAGAATACTAAAAATTAGGAAAGTGGTGGTCATAAAACCAAAAGTGACAGCCTATTAAAAGTTGTATTTAGGTTCCTCAGTCAGGCTAATGTACAACATTAGCTCATCACTGAACATTCACTGAACCAAACACACACATTTGTAGAACAAAATTGCTTATTCAATGGTTTACTTGTGTCACATTTTACCAACCAATAGATAGTACATTGGGAATTCTTCTATGTGACTAGCAGAGTACTAGATACCAAAGATACCTCTAGGCTCCCCCAAAAGGAAAATTCTTTGACGTAGCCAACATGTTTTGATCCATCTATATGAGGATGTAAAATAACAACAATAATAAAAATCATCTCTGTATACCCAGAACATGACACAAGACTCAGAACCCAGTGGGTTTTTAGTAAATCTGTTCACCTAAACAGAATCCAGGACTGCCAAGGGATAGAAATGAGAACATTCTACAATAAAGACAACAGTAGAGAATTTTGGACAAGAACTTGGGTTGGAGATAAGATCCCCACGGGTAAATTTCTGCAGTGGCCTTACGAAAACATGAAAATAACAGTACTTCTCTCCAGGACC